GGCGGAGCGGGGCGGCCGCGGCTCCCGATTGGCTCCCCCGGCGGCGCCGCGCCCCCCGCCCCGGCGGCAGCGGCTAATCACGGGCCCGGGATTCTCCATCAGCCGTCGGGAAGGCGAACCAGGCGGAGGTCTGGGCGCGTCGGGCAAGTTGCGTGCGGTGAGCGGCGAAGAGCATCCGCTCGCAAACCTCTGCAGTGGTCCTTATACAGGTGCATTATTTCAGCCTGTCTGAATTTACCTTCGTTTTCTCGCTAGGTTCCGGTTTCTCCTCCTCGACTGAAATCAGCCGCAGTCTTTCTCCATCGCTACTGTTCTGCCTTTTTCAACCCGGGGGTTTGTTTTGCTGTGCAAATCCATTCATGCTCCAGATGCAAGCATGCTGTTGTATCAGGTCTCCTCATCACATTGCCCTGATAAATCACTAGTAAGAGAAACCAGTGCCTCTGAGAGAAGCACTCCATTACAAGGTGGGGTAATCAATTCTTCATCGGAAGTTCAAATGCCAGCTACCTTTTTTTGTTGTTGTTGTTGTTTTATTTTTAATGAGAAAAATAAAAGTGGTTGACTTGTTCACATCTTGAAGCTAAGTGATCCCTCTCAAGTACCTGCAGAAGAAGCAGAACAAAACCCAAAGGTTTTCCAAGGGGTTGGCCGCCTGCCTTTTAACCAAGAGCTGTGGTTAGGATGTGCACGGAGCATCATTCAGCAGTCATAGACCTCATTTTCCCTCTTTACCTGGGGGCATTTGAACTCATACCTCTTGTTCTCCCACAATGTTATTTTGACAACAGACTACGGTATCTCTGGAGCAGGAGAGGTTAGATCCTACTGTTGATAAGGTTTCAAGAGCTTTGTTGAGCTTAAACAATTTGTGCTAATTAAATAATTTGTACTAATAATTCACCAGGGCTGGAACTCGGCTGGGTTTGCTCTGAGTTACATGTGTAAACCACCAAATTAGGGAGTCACACCCACTTGTTTACATGAAATTCATGTATATTTAAATAGTTTGTACAAAGTGGTATAGTTCCACGCAGAAAGACTGGAGACGTGGCCTGTAACAGATGTCTGTGTTAATTAGAAATTCAGGCCCACCTTAACATAGTATATTGCCTGGGTACTGAGTAACATTGGAAAGAAACAGGTCAGAATTACTCTGTAACTTAACTTTTCACTGTTTCTTTTCCCACCTATTCGCCATTTTTCCCAGGTATCTTTAGTCGTTAATGGATGATGGGAGCAACCCCCTGCAGTTTCACTGTGTACCATGCATTCAGAAGGAGAAAACAGAGCTAGCCCTCCATTAATACAGATGAAATGTCACCCACAGGAGAATTATGCACATGTGCAGTGATTTATTCCCGTGCCATCCAAAAAGTTTGGATTAGTCTCACATGTCATTCCAAACCAAAATAACCTGGGGGGGGGGGGGGGGGGGGGGAATTAGAATTTTTTATTAGTTCTGTTGTTACCTTCCTTATTTGATTATATGTCTTTTCCATTTTTGTCTCCCTACTTTTAGACTTGCAGGTTAATTCAGGTTGAAAGGAATCTCAGTAGGACATCAAGTAAAACCCTCTGTTGCAGAGGGTTTACTTTACTTTGCCCTCTAGAGCAGGCAGCTGAAGACTTTGCTAAGTTCAGAATGCCTCTGCAAACACAGATTCCATCATCTTTCCTGGCACCCTTTGCTGGTTCTTTCCCTGCATATGCATAAGCTCAGTTCTAAAACTGTCCCCACCCAATTTCCACAGTCACTCCAGTTTCATTAAATTTGCAGCTAGGAGACAGCAACAACAGTTCCATGAGAACAGGAGGAGCCTGGTAACAGGCAGAGAGGAAGTCCAGTAGACTTGAAGAGGTAATTTCCCCTGGATTTATGGAAAGGGGAGAAGCAATTAATTTATAGCTCTCTGCAACACATGAGCAGTAAGAAGGAAAAGGAAAATTTTAGCAGTGAGACAGCAAGAGAAAGGACTGGTAGAGCCAATAACTTATTTACAAATGCCCCTTTTCTTCAACTGAACCAAATTCAGGTTCAATGGAAACATTGTACCTCAGGGTGAAATCGTTCAGGAAAGTTGCTGATGGGTAGAAGAGTCCAGTTGGTCTCTTTCTTCACTCCCTCAATATTTTCTGTGTCAATACTGATTTTTTCTGTTTGCTTTCTGTCACTGCAAGTCCTGTCTGATCTCTGGACAGTGGCAGGTTGTAGGTGAAATTCCCAAAACCTGAGAATAGAAGCAAGTTGTTTTTCTACTATGTATATACTCATCTCTCTGTCTCCGTGTGACACTTTCTCTGTAACAAAGTTTATGTTCAGGCTGGCTGGCCTGCTGCTACAGCTTTCAGTTAAAAAGCATAGGAATTATCAGGTAGCTTTATCTTTCTGCAGCTGTTGTCTTTTTCCATCATACCTGACCCAGTGGTGTTGAAAGATGCCTCTGGTCTGAAAAGATCTGATACTAACAAGAGAAACACTGATCTCTAGGATTTCAGAGGAAAAAGGCAAAAATGCTCCTTTCCAATATGTGGTGAAAACTTCTGTACCACAGATGTAGGCTCTGCTAGAAAAGCCATGCTTTGACCATATTTTTGGTTGTCATAGAAATTAGTTTATAGCTTAACTTCACAACTGTTTCTATTTTTTAGTAATTAGGGGATGCAACTATAACACACTACCACTTTTCTATAACAACATTTAAGAAGGACACATATCAAAGTTATGTAGCTCTACATCACATTTTGTGTCAAAGGTATGCTGGTTGCTCTGCAGAGTCACCCTAAAATATAGCCTTGAAACCGTCAAAAGAGATATTGTTGTCTGTTCCTCGTAAATGAGTATGTGGCTGAAGGCAAATAATTCCAAATTGTCATGGTAAGGGGCTACAGAGATACAAACTAAGCAGTCTCAACACACTTCTTGTTCCACTCTTTCAAACATAGGCACTCTGAAGTCTGGTAACTATTTTATTATCATTATCAAAGTCTGTTGCTGTATAGAAATTTCTCTTACTTCAGAATTGTTATTTGTAAGTAAAAATAATCTATGACATTTACCTTTGAAAATAAACCTGTCATGCAGTTCAATTGGTAGGAAGAAACTCACAGAAACAATTTTAAATAAATTTCAGAACGGCTTTACGTTTTATCTTCAAATAAGACAAATGTTCAAGCACTCCAAACTACTATAATGATGTTTTTCAAGCTATCAAGCTTTTGAAGCATATCATTGTATTCAGCAAAGCTGCTTCTACCTCTGTTTCAGGGACATCTCTAGCACCTCAAAGTACTACAACCACACTTTAAACCTCTTGAACTTACATTCAATAGTCCTCTGCACAAATACTACAGGAAATAGCAAAAACCAGATATTTAGCAGCTAGTTACTACAAAACAGAAAACAAAGCCAACTTTTCTACTGTACTAATCAACAAAAGTGCAATCAGTTTCACACATATTAGAAAGGCAGTTAAATTTAGAAATCTAATTAATTTTTTTCCATTAATTTCTCCTGATTATTAATAGGAACAAAGCATCTGGTACACACAGTTTCCATACAAGTCAAGAGGAATCAGATCAGTGAAGTTTGGAGTAGAAGTGGGCTAACACCATATACACCACAGAAGTTGGACTGCTTTGGACACTTTCGTGCTATGATCAGTTGATGAGTTGTTAGCACTCAAGATCACAGACTCACACAACTTTTAAGGTCACAAAACGACTGAAGTGGGAAGGGACCTCTGCATATTGTCTACTCCAGCCCTCTATTGAAAGCAGGGTCAGACACCACATTCAATTGCATTGAAGTTAAGTAAGAAGCACACCACGTGCTTATCCAGCCCCTTGTCAAATTAGGCAACTGTCTGCCATTCAAGCTCTCTAACACTATTACATAATTCCATGAGACAACTCATTGCCCACTATATACAAGCTCATTGTTTTGTATGATTTGCTGAAGCAAGAGCAAAGGCCTTCATCTGTCTCAGCTTCAGCAACAGCAGTAACCCAGGCATTCTAACTACTAATATGAGCACTAAGCTGAGACAGATAACGTTATCACAATGCTTTTTCTCTGTCTTGTCTAAGGTCTTACCTGCTGTTTTCCTTGCATGCAAAAGCTGGTTCCGGAAAGATTCCACCTTTTAAGATAAAGTGGTATTAAAGGTAGTAAACCTTGAATTCATCTACACGAACAGGGGAAGAGTCTCATTTCAGTTACACAAGAATTCAGAGAAGTGATTCTATCATCTTAAACCTTTTGTTGAGCAATTCTACTTGCAGTAGCCCTGCCTTCAGCATTCTGTCTTTAGTTCTATGTCAGCCCCTTCTGAACATATATGCTCATGTTTCCAGTGTGATGTTAGTATTTGGTTTATAAATGTAGGAAACTTAGCTGGAATACACTGCTTTCCACATTTATTCCTAACATGTCTAAGTTCTTCTAGAATAAAGTAGCCAAAAAGTTAGAAAAGAGAAGCATCCTGAGGCAATTTTTAGGAGGGAGTTTATATCAAGCAGGAAGAAGAAGACATAACTGCTGTTCAAAAGGCTTTAACAAAGGTGTTAGGTGTTGCTTCACCTACCACTTAACCAGGTGAAACCAGAGATCCCTATCAGGTCTACCAGTATATCAATTCATGTGGCCACACCCTAGTTCACTACTTATCAAAGTGGGTTAGGTTAGAAACACAAGTGCTTGGAGGTATTTAATCAATCAAACGACTTTAACAAATGAGGCTAAGAGCAATCCCAGTTATGGTGTGGGTTTTGGGGAAATGCTAAGATCTGGTTAATGAGATAAGGCAGAAATTTGTACCTGTGGCAGTAGATCTCATTTAGCTCCTACTGGATCAGGCTGCACTGGGAGTACAGCATTTGTCCTGCCTTCTTGCTGTCAGATAAGGCACCTGCAGCACTGCCCCATTTCAGTGGCAGCTGTGCTGGGTCAAGGGACTCCTCCACCCCTTTGACCATAAAAATTC